GGCCTCAGTCTCCTCGCTTCTCTGCCCAGGGCCTTCCTGGCGGGGGCACTGGCTCAGGGCCTGTGCGAGGTGCTGCTGGTGGTGACCAAGGAGGTGGAGGAAAAGGGCTGCTGGCTGCGGACAGACTGACCCCGCGGAGGAGAGGACCAGGCCACCGTCCGTGCGGTCCCCGTGCATCCACGTCTGGCTCCTGAACGCCAGGGAAGGACCCCACGGAGGCCCAGCCCCTTTTCCGCACCCCCTGCTCCCCAATGCCGCCGCTGCCTCAATAAATCTGCTGATTTGCTCCCGGCCTGGCCCGCATCCGCCTGGGGGGGCCCCTCGCCTCCGGTTACTCCCGTTTACCAGAGAGGCCGTTAGCCAGGCGGGCGCTGCCGAGAGCCCGGAGCCCAGGCACCGACTCTCCACCACTTCCCGGCTTCGCCAGCTCGTAGGAGTTGCCCACCTCCCTGGGCCTCAGTTTCCTCGTCTGTAGCACAGCAGAAAACAGCACAAAGACCCATCCTTGTGAGCTGGTGGGAGAGACCGGGAACAACGTAGAATGTTCAGGGGGGCGCCTGGGTGGCTCAGTCAGTTGAGCCTCCGACTCTTGATTTTCGGCCCAGGTCCTGATCTCATGGTCATGGGATCGAGCCCTGCGTCAGCTGCCACACTCAGCGTGGAGCCTGCTTGGGATTCTCTCTCTTCCCTCTCTGCCCCTCCCCAGTTCGCTCACTCTCTCTCAAAACAAATAAACATTTCTAGAATGATCGATGGGATAAGTGCTGAGGAGAAAACAAGTTTCTTGATTCTCAATCCTCCCCCATCAATTGCTCCAAAAGATGACCCCCGGAATTGCCAATATGCTCCGGTAGGTGACAAAGGGCTGTGAAGGTCGCTAATCCACTGACCTGAACGCAGGGAAATTATCCTGCATTATCCTGGTGCCCGAGGCAATTGTGAGGGTCCTTACAGGTGGAGGAGGAGGCAGGAAATTCAGAAAGAAGGCAGCAGGTCAGAGATGCCACGCGGCCGGCAGCCTCGAAGACCAGAAGGGGCCACGGCTGGGAAGCGGAGCCACCTCTAGGGGCCGGAACCGGCAAGCAAACGGATTCTTCCCGGGCCCTGGGGGGAACAGCCCTGCCCAGGACTCCAGCCCAGGGAGGCTCACCGGACTTCCGGCCACAAGCGTAAAGAGTAAATGTGTGTTGTTTAAGGCACTGGCTTTGTTCGAGTAGCTGCAGGAACCAGTACACTGGTTAGGATTCTTCTAGCACCGAGGGCCTCTCCGAGAAGGAGGGAGCTGCAGGGAGGTGCGGGCGAAAGGCATTCCAGGCTGAAGGAACAGCCAGCACAA